AGTTTTAAGCCCATAAAAAACGTTTAAATTTCCTCGGCCCATTTTGACGCAATCTTTGACTCGCCGACGCATATGTCATCCTAATGATTTTATTCTTTTTTTATCATGTGAAGAAATTAATAAAAAAAATAATTCGGTGTGATTTACGGCAAAAGTATTCAAGACTTTTACCTAAAAAACAATTGCAATTAAGACACAGAAAATTTGATGGGCTGGAAAAAAAATCCAAAATTGATGAAATTGCGCGCACAACCCGTCAAAATAATGGGCTGTCAAAAAAAACCATTTACGGTTTTGGAGAAATGCTACGGTTCAGTTACGAAACCATTCCATCGAAGTTTGTAACCATTAGATTAAATATCCTCGACGATTACATGATAATCTAATAGTTACAAACCCCAACATAATGGTTCCGTAACGAAACCGTAGCATCTCTCGTCTGTTTTAACAGTTGGGAGAATAAATAAGTATTTTTTTAATGTGTGTTTTCATTGAAAATTTGTATTATGCTTCCGTAACAATTAGTCGTCGCATAGGATTCCCTTATTAGAAAGAAGAATCTTTCCTATGGCAAATAATTAAGTATAGTCTATATAATTATATTTCTTAATAGTAAACGTATCCTCTAGAATCTATTCAGATAATATAATTTAATGTTATTATAACGTGAACTGAATTCAATGTACTAATGATCCAACCACGGAGGTCTCAGGTTAATGAAAAACATGTTCACTCATATCTTATCTTTGATGAAAGAGTCCAAATTGCAGAGATTCGAGAACTAAAAAACGTGCGTGATTGGAACATACAAAAATTTTATGGAGTCATCGGATGGTTTTCTTATGGAGCCATCCATGACTTAGTGTATTGACACTTGTCCAAAGTGCATTTATTGTAGCACACGTGTCAATACACTATTTGTGAATAACTGTAGATGGCTCCATAAGCCGAGCCATCCGATGGCTCCATAGCAAAACTGTTGGAACATATATGATCTTATAACTGATTAATATTTTATTTGCGAAGACTTGCTCTAACTATGCCCATTATTGACCGTGTATTTAGAGGTGTAAACGAGTTGAATAGAGATCAAGCTCATTATCTCGAGCTTGAGCTCAGTCTTTATCAAGCGAACAACTAGTTAGCAAAATGAGTTGATAAACAAATTCGGGATTGGCTCGTTTATGAATAATATTAATGAATTGAGCTCGAATCTCAAGATCATTTAGAAAGAAACTAGAGTCGATACCAAAGGAAAAGATGAATTTCATTTGCCCTTGCAGTCAACATCGTCTATTGCCTCGGTTTAACAATTTTTAAGGCTAGTAAAGAGTCTTTTATAGCATATTTCGATTTCCAGTTGAAATAAAAGATCTCAACTTTGCGAGCTCAACTTTTTTTTTTTTTTAAGTCTTGTGTACTAGTAAGTCACAACAATGCATGAGAATTCATACTTTTTAACATCACAAAGTTGAATTCGACTCGGCCTGTTCATCAGACACGTCCGAGTTTAAATTTTAACGAGTTGAATCAAGTTGACATTCGGTTTATATAGTAACTTATGTAATTATCATTGGAAAATATTATTCAATGGTCAAAACAACGATGGGTTTTTTGGTCCAAGCAATCTCAATTGGCTGGCGTGATCATTGCTTTCCAATGATGCGTTTGTAGGTTCTAATCTAATCTAAATGAGTAAATTCTCCTCATTTTAGTCGAAAGCGAATTCTATGCAAAAGAAGCCAAAAAAGTTTTTCAAAAATAAAAATAAAAATTAAATTATAAAATAAATTTACGAAATTTCGGTTACCATAACGTGTTAGGTGGGCCCCAAGGCTCTGGTAGTAACTGGCACGAACTTGCGGCTCAGCCGCCCATAATTTCGATTTAGAAAATTCAGATATTAAAATCAACTCTCCGACACGTGTCAGACGTTCATACGCCAACCAGCCCGCACGCGGGTGAAATTAGCGTAGACCCAAAAAAACACGTCAACAAAAGGAAACATCAAACACGTCTTTGAAAGAGCCGACCGACCAACCCATCTGCCACGTCATCCTAACCGTCCAAGTACCTTCCCACCGTAAAACCCTCCACCGCCGACACGTGTCCCGACCTCAACGGCTAGTTTCTCCGTCTCCTTTATTTACCCTTCTTCAACATTTTTCTCA